ATTGTAGAAAGCTTTTTGAAACATCTTTAGGTCATTTCCTGTGAGAGCTGAAGGGAAAATGACTTTTGTATCAAGTGAACTATTTTACTCATCTCACAATTTTGCTAAGGAAAATAAAGAAAATCCAGGCACATTTACCAAAATCTTCAGCGAATATTTAGTGTGCCCTTTTCCACATCAAGTCGTCAATATTTGGGTCCCCAATGACTGTGCCTGTTGCCTTGCATGAAGAACATATTGAGCTAGATCTTCTCTCTCAAATATCTGAGCCCAAAGAGACCATGTTAATGGGACATTAATGCCAAAATGAGCTGACCAAGAACCATGTGGAGTGGACCAGAGGTTATCAGAGCTGTGTGCTCATGAAAAGTCTGCAGAAGAAGAAAACAGGGAAGAAGGTGTGGAGAGAAAGAGTGGACAGAAATTCACATTCTTCTGAGAGAACATTCACAAGACCTACCCTAGAGAGGTTGTAAAAGGGTTCCCCGAGGACTACTCTTCTCACCCCTGCAGGTTGAAGCATTTAAAAGAAAATGGATGGAGTTGGAGATTAACTCAGAAAGATAAGTATCTGATATATGGAACTTAGATCACACAAACACACACACAGACACATGCACGCACACACACACACACACACGGACACAAGCATTCATGTCATAAGAGAGAAGGGAGACTATTTGGGAGGAGGAAGGGGACTAGCAGCTTGGGTTGAGGGACAATGAGATTGTACAGGATCTAAATATATGGTGTATTTGAATGAAAATGTCATGAAACCCACCACTTTTTGCAATGAATTTATGTTAATAAAATTTGTTTTTAAAAGACTACCGTAGGTTCTGATGTTTCAAGGTAATCTCTGATTCTCCATTCAGAGAAACTTAAGCAGAAACTCAAATTAGAATATCATTCCGCAATATATTTTCATTAGGGTATATATTCACATACTAGAGTCCACACAGAGAGATACACCTACACCCCAGATGTATAATGATAATTTATTTTTCTGTTTTGCTTTTTTTTTAATCCAAAGTATGTAAGTTTTGAGCATACATGGAAACTTAACTGACTTCTATAATAGGTACAGGCTCTGCGAAGGGGACAGGAAGTATAACCAGACAGCTTTGTTACTGTGAAATCCTACATTTGGGTTCTGGCTCTAGCAGTGGTTGAGTGACTTGGGTGATTCCACTTTCATCCCCTTAGTCTTAGTGTCAAGTCAAAAGCATATATAAAACTACTTCTCTCTTGGTTATGCTGCAGAAATCCTGCATGTGGCAACAGCGACAGCTAGGAAATGCTGCAACAGCACACAATACTAAGAGCTTATAGCGGCACAGGGCAGCTAAGCAACAGCTTTTACTCTTACGTGTGGCTGCAGATGCTCACATAGCTGGGACTCCATTGTGGAGACGGTGTATAACCCTTTTCCATCTTCTTATCCTTGCCTTTGTTTTGTGTTCTTGAAAATAAATTTTATGCCATCTACAAGGTGCCTGCTAAATTCTAGTTTCCGTTTTTTGTTTTTTTTTTCCTCGAGACAGAGTCTCCCTGTAGCCCCCGCTGGCCTGGAACTCTCTATGTAGACCAGACTGGCTTCAGTCTCACGGAGATCTGCCTGACTCTGCTTCCTGAGTCCTGGTATTAAAGGTGTACGCCACCACACCTGACTTCTAGTCTCTTTTTGAGGAAACTGCTTCACATCCTTTCTTTTCTGACACCCCAAAGTACCTTCTTAAAACATTTTTTTAACTGTATTCATTTTGTGTGTGTGTGTGTGTGTGAGAGAGAGAGAGAGAGAGAGAGAGAGAGAGAGACAGAGATGATAGGATAGCTATTTCTTATATCGGAA